CCCTGATATTACGTTCGGTTTTAATAAAAGATAAACAATTATAGAAACCAATTAATAAAATGATGAGCAAAATCCGATTTAAAATAGGAAAGTTATGACATTTAAAGTTGTCAACAGTGAAACACAAATTGGCAACACTGTGACGTATTTGGTGAGCTCCTCTCCAATTCGCTGTATATACATAAAATAATTTCTTCTTTCCGCTGCAATATTTACTTTGGTGTTCCAATTCAGTCTAGTAAAAAAAGAGTAATCCTCATTTTACGGAAACAAAAATCATGTTTTAAATGTAGGGCAACATTAAAAATGAGGTCAAAAATTGGGAAATGCCTTCGGATCTACAGTGTGAGTCAAAAAAAAGTTTACACCTATAAAATTGCTAATTATTTTAAAAATCGTCTATGAACAGTAAATTATTATACATCTTATGAAAGAGTGTTTTATCCCAATTAATTCTGTATCACTTTTGTGTGGTATGTGTTTACGCTTGGATGAACTGGAGGCATTGTTTGCGAGAGTGCAAAAATCGACTTGCACCAAAGTTGCTTACGTGATGTTTGAATAAAACAATTGGGATTTGGGTATTAATTCGGCCTTTGCGAATCCAAATAACACCCTCAACAAAATTAATCATGCCACACATATCAATTATCAAATATCAAATATCAACAAACATTTGTGCACGTGTGTGTGACTTTGCTTCTGCAAATAGCATATGCAATGCATTTCATTTGATACATTCAATTCATTCTCTCACTCCGCTATCCCAACATAATACATGCTGTAGGCATCACTTTGGCGCAAGTGGATTTTTGCACTCTCGCAAACAATGCCTCCTGTTCATCCAAGCGTGAACACATACCACACAAAAATGATACCAAATTATTTGGGATAAAACACTCTTTCATAAGATGTACAATAATTTACTGTTCATAGATGATTTTTTTCTGATCAGAAATTGTGCAAAGTTTGCGCCGGCTATATAAGCGATAGTTAAAGGAAAATCTAACATTGACTAACAATTACTCTAGTCTAAAAGAGTACATAAACATCAGAGAAGCAGACTAGCGAATGTTTGAATGAAATCGGACAAAAAAGAAGACATATTTTAATTGGTGATTCTGGGAAGGTAAGATCATAAGAGCAAATAAATATTAAATTAATCGAGCAGAGGGTAAAGACCTAAATAAAAAGTTAAAATGATTACCAACTGTTATCAGATTATTATTGTATACTATTATAAGATTTGAGCAAAAAGATTTGAGTTTTTTCTTGAAATTTTTTAGGGATGGACTATTTTTAATACCTTCACTTAGAAAATTCCAAAGTCTAGGATCATCATACATAAAAGACTTCTTCGCTAATAAAGTTCTAAAGAGTGGTAGGTGAAACTCGTCAGACCGTCTAGCTGGATAATCATGAAATGACCGATTTAGGGGGAATATGGCATCAAATATATGTGGAAGGGTCTTTCTTATATACTTATACATAAACTGTCCTAAGTGAAGTAGTTAGAGGTCATTTGTTTGTAATAGTCTGCTATTTAATAACAAATAACAGGTCTGTGTTTGAGAGTATGGCAGAATAATTGTTGATTCTATTGTAGTCTATTTAGTAGATTTTGCTGCGTATTGCCCCAATCATTCAGATAATTCAGATATGGTGAAATTAAAGATGATTTAAAGCATGAGTAAGTAGGGATGATGTCGGAAAAATGAAATTTAAGTTTATTTATTATGCCAATATTCCGTGAAATGATCTTACATGTATTATCTATATGGTATTTCCACAAAAGTTTGTTATTAACAGTTATGCCTAGAAATTTAATGAATGAAACAACTTCCAAGGGGGTATCTTCAAAAATAAAATTCATGGGCAGTGTGTCTATAGAATGATATTGATATATTCGTTTAGGTTAAGGGATAGTTTATTAGCTCTTATCCATTGGGTGACTTTTTTAAGTTCAGAATTTACAACATTGACTAAAGTATTTGGATTTCTATGGGAATAAAATAGATTAGAAACGTCTGCAAAAAGTATAAATCAAAGGACCTCGGATGATTTACAAAGGTAATTTATATAAATATTAAACAAACAAGGCCCAACAAACTTCCCTGTGGTACTCCACAATTGACGTTTTGCATATTGGAAGTATGATCATTCAAGAATACGTAGTGTCCGACCACTTTCCCATTTATTTTCAACTTACACAATGACTTAAATGGCAATTTTCCAAAATGGATGGCCCAGGATGTGTTTTTTCTTTTTAGAGGACCTATAATAATATGCTAACTATAATATATATTTCAAATAGTACCCCAATAGAGGGAAGCAACAAAAAAGGGAATTTGTGTACACGACAAACGGAGAAGTTGTATTTAAATACATCATAATCTACAGAACAAATTGTCAATTTGAGATTCGCATAGATTCAGTGATCTCATATTTCAAACATTCATAACTATTATTATTGGTCTGCCTTAATACAAATGGTCTTATT